AGTACACCAAACAAAGAAGCACCAAGTGACCTGACGTTAAGTACTGTGGTTTCAAAGCACAAAAGTGATAGAACGAAACGGATATCTCCAGTATTTTCCGAATTTAGTATTTTCCCATTGGCTTAACATTACGACGTAATGACCTCTAACTGACCTCAGGTCAGTGACCTCAAAAAACCCGAACTATATGTTATACAACTCGGCGAACTTAGCAGATCCTGAAAGTTTGAAGAAAATCAGTGCAAAACTGTGAGTTGGACAGGTGCAAAAAGAAAATTGAAATTTGACCATGACCTTGTACCGGTTTGTCTGACCTGGTGACCTGACCCAAGGTCAGCCGGACCTGAAATTTTCAGGTCATATGTGAAAAGGTTGCCCCTTAGGCTCTGCCAAATTTTGCGGCGCTGCGCGCCGCCGTTTTTACGCTATCTTCGAAAAACCTTAGGGGGGTCGCATCGACCCCCCCCCTGCCAGGGCGAGGGTTAATACTTCGTAGGATCAAACTTAACATTTATTTACCTTTTTGGGGCCAAGTGTCCTTGACAATGACGATTTTTGTGCTATTTTCTAAAAAAAAAATTAACGTTTTAGAAATAATGAAGAATTTTGAACGTTGCTTTGTCTTTATTTTACCATGACCTGCTATTTTTGGAACTGGGTAGCTTTTACTTGTGAGCTTCTTGTCAGTTTTCAATAGTTATGGCCGCATTTTCAGCTGCTTTCTGGCATTCGAGTCTCCTGTCGTACAGTAGCGGCGGAACACCTTCAATGAACGGGGGGGGGGGCACTGCCGACTTTTGGTCCCATTCTTTCCATGCAACGCCCATAGGGCTAATATTAAAATGCCAAAATCAAAGGGGGGCACGGTGCCCCGGTGCCCTCCCCGTTCCGCCGCCTATGCTGTCGTACGAGGGTCGTTCAAAACGCTATTAGTTTGGGATGGATTCGTCCTTGAAAATTTTTAGCCACCATTTTTTTAATGATCATCACATTGTACCCATCCTCGCCGACACTTTTGCTATGTGTAACTTCCGACTTAACAATTCCCATTACTCCTGAAACAGAGAGTTTCACAACAGACTCGATTTTGCGACCTCCGTTTTTATGCCTGACTCATGATCAGAGGTCAGAGGTGAACCCTTTTTGTGAGCTCATGAAGGGTCGAACGTATTTAAAAACATTGACACTGCTCTAGGACGGTTTTTAACAATGTCCATGCAAAATTTCGACCTTAAATTTCTTGTTAATTCAGAAGTATTGACGAAAAAGCATGGCTGGTACGTGTCAACGAACTTTTGAGACACCCTGTACTCTGACGTACATGGTGATCAATAACGAATGAAGTAAAGACGTAAAGAATCCCGGTGGGAAGCAAATCATATAAATTTTAACACATTAACAATACACTGCTAGATTGACATTTATTGAGCATTTGACATAACACAAACGGAGTTCAGTTGTGACACTTCGTTTGTCCATGGGACGTACTCAAAGTGTCCTCCCCTCTCCGCGCAGCAGAGCTCGGCCCGGTGCCGGGTGTGCCGCACCATGCGACTCAGATGGTCGCTGACCATCCTATATGGGCGAAGCCTTCGAGGACTCACGACACCCTTCAGTTCATTGAGGGTCTTGAGTTCGCTCCGAAACTTCTTAAAGGTAGTGTGCCAACTTCCAATGATTTCCCATTTTATTTTTCCTAGGATAAGAAGCTTCTGTTTTAACCTAATATCGCAAAAAAAATCAAAAATGGGCCTAAAATAGTGCTTTTTTTCGCCTAAAAGTTTATCGGTTTTTCGATATGTATAACAACTGTACTAGTGGGCTGACCTGCAAACAGGCGTCGGCAACAATCGCGAATGCGGCGCATATGTGACAATAAGCAAAGGTCATTATAGAGTTACGACGTACGGGAATGAGTTATCAGCTGGGGCATTCCACGATAGATCGTACCAGGCCCGTCACTCTCATCTCTCAGATTTTAATGAAAATCGGTCCTCGGGGTAATCACTAATCATAGGCCCCAAAGACGCCTGGCAAAATATCAGACTTCTCAGATCAAAACTTTTTTAGTTATATTGCATTACAATTTTTTAACTTCGGTTTGTAACGGTGAGTTTGATGGCCTATAACTCAAGAACGGGTTAAGCAACCAACAAAAAGTAAACAACACTAAGCTTGCGGTGAATCAAAAATTAATATTACTATTTAAAAATTCCAATGAAAAAAATTCATTGTTGAGCAAAAACCTTTATCGTTTTTCATTTGCCTCTAATAACTTTTGGGACCAAAATTTTTCACATTTTTATTTTTTTTTCAAAATAAACTTCATGTCATTGCAAATCGACATGCAAAAAATTAGAAAGGTGTTCTTTCTATAAGTTCCTCATTTTCCCGCAAACAAAATGGGTTTCGGAGGGGTTGATACGACCCCAGCACGCCGTTTCGCTTCTAATAGAGCTACAGCCTCGCGGAAAAAACGAGCGTGTGTGCCGTTACAAGTCGCAGCGATTGATACCCGATTTTAAGGTCTCAGGTTAACCGGTAGCGTCTGAGGTCAGGTCAAGTGACTGAAGTTACGGGTTCGGTATTTACTAAATAACTTCGCAAAAAATGGCCGCAGAGCCGCGATTTTGGCATCATTGTGTTCGCCTTGCTCAGGTGCATCGAATGGTATACTTTTTGCTAGGGTGAGGTCAACTTAAGTAGTTGACCTCGGGTCAAGGTCAGGTCAGAGCCCCTCAGGTCACGAAGCTGGGCAAAGGGTATCATATGGTATATCATTCGATTCGGAAGGTCTTCCCGAGTCCATTGGTGGCTTTCCCGACTCTCTAGCTCCATTTGATCGGGAGTTATGGACGAAAAACTCGTACGACCCTAATGACGTCATAAATGACGTCACGCAAGGTTAACAATGCAAAAGTAAAGCATTGGACTTCACAAGGAGTGCATGAAATCACGATACCATGTACAGTCACCAGCACTTGCTACCCATCACCCCCGGACGGCGGGGGAGCAAGCTACCACCGCCCTTGCGAGACTAGCGCCGCCATGCGCCAAGAAGTGGAAATACCACGTGACTGAGGCCACGTGAGGGCAGGGTCACGTGATGGAGGGGCGGAGCATAGTAGCTTTAGCGCCCGACACTAACTGAAATGCGGCGCTGTGATTGGGCGCCTTAGCATGAATGAAGCCCCGGCGCCAGAATCAGCCGTTCGCCTTATATGGAAGGTAAGCCTGTGCGTTTCACTGTTCTGTGTTGGTTTGAGAGCCACGGCACCATACGAATTGTGAGTCTCTTTGAACGGGTCACCGCCCGAGGCACTGAGGCGACGGCTGTGCCGGGCAAAGCCTAGCCTGGTGGGAGAGGTGGGCCAGGGAAAGTGCGATCGAGCAGCCACACTGAGACGTGGATTGGTATTATCTAACCACGACAAACGATGTCAGCAGCCTCTTCTCGTTGACACGAAAAGTTTGACAGACAACGTGGGCAGTGCCCAATCAAAAGCTACTAAACGATTCAGTTAAGAAGTTGGCGAGATAACCAGACCCAATAAAAAGTTTTTAATTCGATTTTGATTGACAAATGACATACAAGCCCGCTGTGATGGACCAAAAAAGGAGCTGAACAGTTCATACAACTTCTAAAAAGCTCAACGGTAAACATTTAAAAGTCAAATGTTAAAATTCAGCCTGCATGTTTAAACTCGGGTCCGGCGCTGGCAGGAAGCTTATATTGCCAAGCTTGCAATTCCACTACGTTGTAATATAACCAAGAGTTATGTGAGAGCAACAACTGAAAGCCTCGAGCCCCGTTGGGGGGAGGGGGGCGCGAAACAGCCCCCTCTCCTTTTCAGTCGATATCTCCTAAAGTAGGTATAGCGTAGGTCGCCACCAAACTTTAAGACCCCTCCGGGCATCATTTTACACCTTGTGACCAAATTTTTCCAGAGCTTTTATGAAAGGTTAGTCACAAATGACGTCAGAGTGACGTCATGTTCTGTCATTTTCGACCCAATAAAAGGTTTAGCGGGAAGAGCTGTCACGCTTACAGTTTTGAAGATAACAAAAAAATAGGTATTCAAGATAAAAAAGATGTAAAATAAACAGCGCTACAAAACTGCCAACTCTGATTTCTAAACAAAAATTGATTTCGACCATCAAAACTATAGAAGTATAACACCCCGAAAATACCAACAACATTCAAAATTAAAGCTGGAATATATGTTATTAGTTATAGAACTATCTGCTCTAGATATGCCAAACTTAAACTCGACAGCTCCATTTTTAGCCAAGTTATGGCAAAAAAAAAACACTACTCAAAATGTATCACGTAAAATTTTCAAACTCAATTTTTAGCCGTCACAGAACACACAGAGCAAGCCAAAGACCACCATTGGATTTCCCGTGATGAGCTGCATCGAATAGATACCACTTCTATGCAAAATATCAACTCTGAAATTTAACCTTTTTTTACCTGACCTTGACCTGACCTCCACCAGAACGTAATCTAAACCGGCCCCAATGGCCGTCTAGTCCACACCATTACATTTTAAATGTAAAATTGACGATAAAACATGTATCACGCGACCCTAGCAATTAGCATAGTTGGGTTCATATTGTGACCTTTAGTGACCTGACCTCTTTGACCTGACCTGGCATCAGTGACCTCTTTAGGCAACATATGTATTGGGCAACCACGCTCCATCGATGGTTTTCGATAGCATGCCTTATATTTGATGTGTTAACTGTTAACTGACTGTAACGCATTCCTTAGACTGAATTGGTGAAAAAAAATGCAACCTTTGACATGACTTGTGACGTCATGGGCTGCACCTAGGTCAACAAAACCTGGTAACAAGGTTCGATAGCCCCTGGTGGGGCTATCGAACGTTCTTCGAATTTTCAAAATCGGTCGGTAACTTTCCGAGATCTCAGGGGCTGCACCACCCCATCAGGTGGTAGGGTCCGCCAATAGCCCAACGGGGCGCGAATTATGATCAATTCACTTTAGTGCAATTGACATTAGCTGCCGGGCGAATGACATTACTTTCAGGTTCAGGCGACGACAGCGCCTCTCTGCCTCACCCAGCGGCGGGGGCACAACCCGCCAAATTAACAGGCGGCGCCACCATCGCCGTTTTCTACAGGGGCGCCTCAGGGTGCCATGGACTTACGTTGCCGGTGTAAAAGGTAATATGTTCGTGTCGGCGATGGAAAATATTTACAAGGGTAAGTGTTTGTACGAAACTGGTTAAATATAAAAATTAAAACCTTAATGTCAAAGACGGCCAGTGAACCAAATTATGTCATAAGGAAGAGACGACTTAAGAAATCAAGCGCACGCTTGGCAACGCTGGCAAGATTCTCTTTCCGCCGAGTAGTGAACAAGTGCGAAGATTCTTTGAAGGAAAAAGGAAGTGTCCTGAGTCAGTAAGACATTTGTGTTTTGACACCCCAGGAAGCATGGGTCGAACAAGTAGGAGTGGCAGAAGCGGTAAGTTGCCTTTTGCGGCAAATGAGCGATTGATATGGGAACTGCAGTTGGTCGCGGCGCTTGTGGCGCATTCGCCGCTTGAACACTGGGCTATGGCGGTTATCGGCATACATTTCAATTTCAATTTGGTCACATATACGTGCCGGCGCTATAAGCGGTCATAGGCTAATAAACTGGTGTAATGCTTGTTAATTTAGAAAGCAAAGTAACATGAGCGAGTCAGCTGCTGGTTGTGAATGATGCCTGGGGCTGTAATAGCAAGAGTAGGTACATAAATAATTCCTATCATTTTAGGTAACCTAAAAGAAGTGTTATACTGTATGCAACATCCTGTATTTGCCTGTCTCTGTGGTTTGATACTCAAAGAAAATGCATTTAATGTTCAGCTTTACGGGCCTCCCTGTTCCCACCACACACACCTGTGCTGCTCTCCATGTCGAAGCTTAGCAAGCTTTCACAAGTTGATGTTGGTAACGCTATCACAACCGCTAACATATGCTTTTGTTCTTTTTATATACAATCGGCATTACATATATTTGACAACCCTGGTGTGTTCTCCTGGGAAAACCAAAAAGCCACTCTTTGTGGCCCATCACATGATTCATGACCAACCCTCAAATCAATAGCAGCACAAGAGCTTTCATTTAGACGTGATCACCACGGCAATCCCCCTTCCCCCACAAAAAAAAGGAAAACGAGCTGCCCACATGCCTGATTGGTGGATAAGAAAGGACTCTAGGCTCTGAACAAACACTTAGATACTAGCGGTGCTTTTGGACATGCATGTCTAACATCTGGTCCAAGCCAATATGTTGGAAATAGATACATAAAAGAAAAGAATTAAGAATAATAATATCATAAAAGGAATAGTAATAATATATATCAATAATAAAAAAAAAAAAAAATAATAATGACCGATAATTGTAACAATAATAATGGTGATAATGATGATTTATTATTTCAAGTTAGCTGCTTAGTCATAAAAAAAAAGCTCCTAAAGCTCATGTATCCGACTTCTCAGTTTGTTAGCATAATCCCAAGCTGGCTTACCATTGCCTGATGTCTCATCTGTGGAGGGGGTAGGGCTGCCCAAACCTATGCCGAGCTTCCATATGGTTGATTTCACATAATCCTCCACTGCATTTTGAAGCAACCACTTAGTGCTGATTTGAAAGCTATCGAAAGAAAGAATATGGCTGGACTGTACAGCAACAAGCTGGTGGAAAGCCCAAGGCCAAGCCATCCAGGCTGATCAAAGTTGTGGTGTGCCATATTATAAGAATAAGATGGATTGCTCATGCATCTGATCATTGCCCTGCAATTTTTATCCTGCATGCTGCTGCTGTAGCCCCGTTGCACAATGGCCATTTGAACAGTGGACACCTCTGGCAACAACAAAAATAAAAAGCGAATGTTGATATGGCGGCTCACCTACCAGCTTACTACAAACTACTCTATGTCAAAGGCACACCCCAGCCCGTTCTACAATCCAGCGTTGATCATGGCTTACACGCCTACAGTCACTTGACATTAGCACTGCCTATCGTCTCCCCCGTGATCATGAACTGTTGCACATGAAGCCACTTATCGCACCTTTAGTCATTTCTGAACATCTGATGGTAGCTGACCAACACGCCTGCGGTCAAAAAAGTCCAGATGCTTACTTTTAAGGCCGACTGGCACGCTTGCAGTCGTCGACACTTTGATAAGCCGACCGACACGCCTGCGGTCAAAAAAGTCCACATGCTTACTTTTAAGGCCGACTGGCACGCTTGCAGTCGTCGATACTTTGATAAGCCGACCGACACGCCTGCGGTCAAAGAGTCCAGATGCTTACTTTTAGGGCCGACTGGCACGCTTGCAGTCGTCGATACTTTGATGAGCCGACCGACACGCCTGCGGTCAAAGAGTCCAGATGCTTACTTTAAGGCCGACTGGCACGCTTGCAATCGTCGCCGATACTTTGATAAGCAGCACGCCGCGTGTCCGCTACCATTTGCATTTTTCAGCCTGTGAAACTTTCCTTGTGTAGAGAACTGGTTTGTACGAACGTTGTTGTCTCGCACCCGCTGTTATTTCCGAAAACTTTTGTTTGCTGAAGTGGCTGACTGACACGCCTGCGGTCAAAACAGTTCATGGGGGACTGTAAGGCAGACTGGCACGCTTGCAGTCTTCAACTCATAAACAGCACGCCCCCTCCCTCACTCATGATAAACAGCCAGTAAAGCTTCCTATAAAAAGACCTAATTTTTCGTCCGATTAATGACGACTGATACGGGCTGACACGCATGCAGCCGCACAGAAAGCTACGATGACCGACACGCCTGCGGTCGACGTTCAGGCTCGTCGCCAGTGCTGACTGGCACGCCTGCAGTCAACCGAGTATAATTCTTCTAGAACCGCGCGCTTGTTGCTCGAAATGTTCACCATATGACCTAACAGGCCACTTACAACCCGAAGGTCCATAATGGAAACCGGCATGTGCGGCCTTTAGCAACTCAACCCCACATTGATTTGACCGACACGCCTGCGGTTCGAAATGATCACATACTCTCGGCCCTTGCCTCACTGACAGTCGACCGACCTAGGCTGGCATTTTTTATACAATCGCTGCAATTGGCCACCTTTTTTTATCCCCTGCCATAGACTGACACGCCTGCAGTCGCTGAATGAGGCCCAGGCCCGAGGTCTAATGTCGCTCTGGACGTTATTAAGTAACTGTGCCGACCTCACGGTGATTACATGCCCGGTTCGAGCAGCACGGCCGACACATACGTCACCAGCCTTTAACGGACCTCTTGCACACGGCTGGATCAGCGGGCCATACAGCTGACCGCGGCTTTACTGGTTCAAAAATATCGATGCTTCTACTGCTGATTGCTGAATCGCTCGCCTATCGGCGCGCCGACATGCCCAGGAGTGATCACCCACATAGCCGGGCAGTTACGGACGGCACACGCCAAACCCCTTTCCTCGGACGCTGCTTCCCAATTCAGCTCGCGTGAACATGTAGTAATTACCCACTGCCCCCCCCCCCTCACTCACCCAACCCAACGCACTAGCACAGGCTGTCATAATTCTGCATCCTTGCAGGAGCCAAACGGGCGACCAGGGGAGTGGCACCAGCCGAAGTTAGCCCGGCCGAGGACCAGGAGCGGGCTCACGTCATTGACGGAGAAGCCCAACCGCTCGAGGGACCCGCGACACCCGAGGATGACGGCTCCCTGACTGAGGTCTCCTCAGATGAGGATAGGGACGGCGCCGAGGAGACTGAGTCCTCCTCCAGCGGCTCCAGCGCCGCCAGCCCTCCCGCTCAACGGAGCAAGAGGAGGAAAACCCTCTACGCCGGCGAGACACGGCCTTCAGCGAGCGCGGTCACGCGGCGGCATGGAGCCGTGGTGGACTATGTGCATGTTGGCCGGGCCCCAACGCGCTCCATCCAGCCGCCCCCGCCCCGCCGGCTGAAGCTTCCGACCGTCGGTGCAAGCACCCTTAGACGGCTGGCCAACCGAGCTAAGGTGGTGGCCGTGGAAGATGTCCTGGCCCCCAAGGAGTTTAGCGGCATCGGCACGGCGGCGGGACCGTCAACACCACAGCTGGCCCCGGCCGAGTACCTACGCGGCGTCGGAGTCATCGCGGCCTATAGGGCCTACTTCTTCCCCGAGCTGGCGGTGCAGTGGGCCATGTACATGGTCTGGCTCCAGGGACGCGCTGCAGGCCTGCCCACCGCCGCCATAAAGCAGCTGGACGGACACGGCAGGACACTGCTCGCTCAGTACCCCGGCGAGTACCACACCCCGGCCGACCTGACGGAGAGCGTGCAGGCTCTGATGCCGGCACCGCCTAGCCGCCCGGTCTACGCGGCCCGCTCGACAACATACCGCCCCGCCGGAGGCAGCCGCCCGTTCCAGCCCAGGGAGCCCAAAGCCTGCTGCTTCCGCTGGAACGAAGGACGGTGCCACAACGGAGCGTCCTGCAGGTTTGGGCACAAATGTCGGGAGTGCGGCGCCAACGATCACCCGGCAACAGCATGCCCGATGACCCGCCGGTTCTCGGGAAACGGCCCGCGCCCGCTGATGGGACACCCGTCTCCAGCGGCGGGCCGCCACTAATCGCGACGGTACGTGCACAGACGAGCATGCAACACTCACTAGTACGCACCCCAATCCAACCCGAGCTCCTCCTGCAATATGCATCCCCACAGACCGACCCAGGTCTACTGCACAGCGTTCACGAACGGTTAACTCGCGGGGCGGACCTGGGTTACACTGGCCCTGACATCAGCACTCATCGTCCAAATAACCAGTCAGCCAGGTCGCACCAGGAAGCAGTCACGAAAGCCATCCAGCTGGAGGTGGCTCGGGGACACACCGCCGGACCATTTGCCTCGCCGCCCTTTGACCCCTTTCGATGCAACCCGCTAGGCGCCCGCGTCAAACCCGACGGCACAGTCCGGCTCATCCTGGATCTCTCCCAACCGGAGGGGCTCAGCGTCAACTGCTTCATCGACCGCGAGGCCTTCACCCTCCAGTACGTGAGCATCGACCAGGCGATCCAGGCACTGTACGAGGTGGGACCTCAGGGGGCTCTCATGGCTAAGGCAGATCTAAAACACGCTTTCCGGCTGATACCTGTGCGCCCGGACCAGTGGTGGCTCCTGGGGTACTACTGGCAAGGCCAGTACTATCATGACGTCAGGCTCGCTTTCGGGCTGCGATCCGCGTGCTCCCTCTTCAATGACCTTGCGGAGGTGCTCTGTGAGGCGCTTATGTTCCACTCAAAAAACGAGCAGGTGTATCATTACCTGGACGATTTTTTCTTTTTCTCGCCAAGTGACTCACAGCTGTGCGCGGACACGTACAACACGTTCCTCAAAATGTGCGCTGACACGGGCGTACCGGTTGCGTCCGACAAGTGCTCGCCACCCAGTACCCGAATGGAACTGCTCGGATGCATCTTGGACACGAACGCGCTCACTATCTCGCTCCCCGACAGAAAAGTCCAGGACATCATCCAGGCGCTCAGGACAGTCCGCAGGTCCAGAAAGGTGCGCCAGCGGGACCTGCTGAGCCTGATCGGCAAACTGGTACACGCAATCAAATGCATACCAGCCGGACGCAGTTTCTTCCGTCGCCTGCTCGACACAGCACACTCAGTCAGTCGCACTCATCACAGAGTCACCATCAACACCGACACCCGCCGTGATCTGGACTGGTGGCTCGCTTTCCTCCCCGCTTGGAACGGCACGGCACCCATGCTCCACCCCACCTGGACCCCACCCGACGACCTCAACCTGGTCACTGATGCCTCTCTGACGGGGTACGGGGGTATGTGTGGTGACGACTGGTTCGCGGAGACGTGGCCCCCCCAAACCCTTGCTTGGTGCACCAGCATGTCATGGCTAGAACTGATCCCTCTGCTCGTGGCGTGCGCCACCTGGGGACCGTCGTGGCGGGGCCGTCGCCTCATCTTTCACTGCGACAACACCGGTGTAGTGGGAGCGTGCCAAAAGGGTTGGAGTCGCGACCCCAGACTGATGTCCCTCCTGCGTCAGATGTGGTTTCTGGGAGCGTCACACTCCTTCACTTTTCGCGTGGAGCATGTGGCGGGACGGGACAACAGCACAGCTGACGCTCTGTCCCGTCTGCAGCTGGAGCGGTTCCGGGCCCTGCAGCCGACCGCACGGCCCACACCAACGCGAGCGCCGGCAGCCATTCGGGAGTTCCTGGCCAACCCGACGGAGGACTGCCGCGCAGCGACGGGCTACGCCATCTAGACGGCCTAGCGGAGCAGCTGGTCGTGGCGGGTCTGGCGCCGGCGACGCGGCGCCTATACGACGCGGGAGCGCGGCGATACCGGCGGTTCTGCCGCACATACCGACTCGTCGCCGCGCCCGCTGACGAACAAACAGTGCTTAGATTTATTGCCCACCTCGTTCGCCGCGGGCTCACCGCCGCGCGCATATCGACTGTTCTGGCCGGGGTGCGCCATTGGCACGTGCGTCGCGGGGCACCGTGGATCGGACGCACCGATAAGGTTCGGCTAGCGCTGCGCGGCGCGGCCAAAATCCCGCACGCCCCTCGAGCCCCTCGGGTAGCAGCGACTCCGTCCCACCTTCGACGGCTTCACTCAGAACTGGGGCGGGCGCAAATGCACCCCGTTGACCGCGCAGCCGCCTGGGCGGCTGTACTGCTCGGCTTCTTCGGCGCGCTGCGCGGCAGCGAATACCTTTCCCCAACGGCCCACACCTACGACCCCCGCCGCACGTGCCAATGGCGCCACCTGACCCTAAAGCGAGGCAGCCTACGGCTAACCATACCAGCGTCCAAAACGGACCAAGTCTACCAAGGCTCGGTGGTGAGCCTCCCGGCCCTAGACGGGCCTGTGTGCCCCGTCACCGCCCTGAGACAATATCGACGCCTGCGTCCCGACCGCCACCCAGATAGGCCGCTCTTTGAGCGCGCTGACGGGCGCCACTGTACCGCGGGGTGGCTGAACGGTGTGCTCAGAGACGCCGGCCTGACGCGAGACGGTCGACTGACGACCCACAGCCTGCGGATCGGCTTCGCCACGGCAGCGGCCGCGGCCGGCGTCTCTGAGAGCGTCATCCGCGTCTCCGGGCGGTGGCGGGGCTCCTCCTATCTGAGGTATGTGCGTGGGCCGCGCCTTGCTGTTTGGCAAGCTTGTCAAGCTATCGTGTAAATAGACCTTTGGGCAACGTTTGGCGTTTCTGGGCTCGATTACCGAGCCAAAAGTTAGGCTGGACACCGGCTAGACGGAGTTGAGGCCGAATCGGGCAAACGACTCAAACGACATGTCATTATACAGGATAGATTAGAGCACCAAGCTAATGATCAATTCACTTTAGTGCAATTGACATTAGCTGCCGGGCGAATGACATTACTTTCAGGTTCAGGCGACGACAGCGCCTCTCTGCCTCACCCAGCGGCGGGGGCACAACCCGCCAAATTAACAGGCGGCGCCACCATCGCCGTTTTCTACAGGGGCGCCTCAGGGTGCCATGGACTTACGTTGCCGGTGTAAAAGGTAATATGTTCGTGTCGGCGATGGAAAATATTTACAAGGGTAAGTGTTTGTACGAAACTGGTTAAATATAAAAATTAAAACCTTAATGTCAAAGACGGCCAGTGAACCAAATTATGTCATAAGGAAGAGACGACTTAAGAAATCAAGCGCACGCTTGGCAACGCTGGCAAGATTCTCTTTCCGCCGAGTAGTGAACAAGTGCGAAGATTCCCCGCCCCCATCCCCTCGCTACCACCCCCACCAGTAGCTTCCCATAGTTAGCTGCCATAACCTCCATGTTAGCTGTCTCCTCCAAACAGTCGGTGTTCTGTTCAGTACCGAGCCCCTCATGGGCTCGGTACCGTTTCTGGGCTCGATTACCGAGCCAAAAGTTAGGCTGGACACCGGCTAGACGGAGTTGAGGCCGAATCGGGCAAACGACTCAAACGACATGTCATTATACAGGATAGATTAGAGCACCAAGCTAATTTACTCATTCATATAGTGTCATCTATTTTGAGAACACCTTTCTCACGACATGACATGGTCCTCTCGTAATAGATCGAGATGAGGACAGTGTTTTCACGCCTCCTTATGCACGGCTCTAGTGTCATTGAGCTATCAACTGTCAGCGGTTTCCGGACAATGAAGGAAGGCTTTTGGTCGTTTTTAGGTAAGATCTTGGGTCAGATCATTTCAGTGGCGGATCCAGAGGGAGGGCATGGGGGCCATTCTCCCCCCCTTGGGCCTCCCGGGGGCCCATCACGGAGTGTTTTTTTTTTTAATTCATCACGGAGGTCACCGACGGGAGTTTTAACCCAGAGGTCTCCTAAGGGGCCACCATCCAGAAGGTCTATCGGAATAGGGTACCGTTTTCGGGGTCTCCCGGAGGCCCATTTCTGTCCCTGGCCTCGTTTTTTTTTAGTTTAGTTGAGTTTTTTAGTTTTTAGTTTCAAGTTTCCAGGGGCACTTTTCCGAAATCCGAGGCCTGAAGGAGCACTCTCCCCGTGTCTGAGGGGGCACCATCTCGAAGTCTCAAGGGCACCATCCCAAGGTCTCAGGGGCACCATCCCGAGGTCTCAGGGGCCGTTTGATCCGCGCCGTCCTGGGGGGGGCGTTTTTACGCCCCCCCCCCTAGATTTTTCGCGAATATCTCAAAAACGGCGACGCGTAGCGCCGCTGTTTTAGATAAACCCGTTCCGACATCTTTTTCGCACATGCTATGAAAATTTCAGATCCCGGTCATTCAAGGTCAGGTCACCATGTAACGTCGAGTGACCTTACCTCAGAAAAGGTTAGAAAGCTCGCTGTAGCTACATCGACTGAGCGATCACTTTGAAACTTTCAGTACTTGCTTAGGGTAACAGTATGTATAAAATGGATATCTCGGATTTTTATATCTGTGAGTTGTGACCTAAGGTCAGGTCAATTTTGCGACTGCTCCATATAAGTCAATGAGAGAAAATTGAAATGAGCCTCTTTTGGCCGAATGTCGTTCTACACCCTCTCAAACATCGGTTCATATGTAAACATGACACTCTGAATCGGAAAATTGCACCTGTGCCCCCTATGTGTGCCCCTGAGGTCATCTCAGGTCATGAAAGGTCTTCAGCAGTTTTTTTTTACTAAAACTAAACCGTTGATCTGAGGTCAAATTTGAGGACATGTTGGCGAAAGAGCGTTAAAAGAGCTATCGAATGCGCTTTCCAGTTTCCACGGCGCTGTAGCTGTATTGGTTCCAGAGTTAGCCGTCGGATTTTAAAATCGTTGAAATCGACAAAATTTGACATTTGATGAGCTCTGGTGACCTGATCTTTGCCCTGACCTTAAAATGACCGGGTGTTTTCCTTCTTATTTTTGACACTCTTTCGATTGCCGCTTACCGCGTGTCGCTACGTGGCCCAGGAGCCGAGTTAGACGTGTTCATGCCACCAACACGGCGCGGGTGAATTGTTATGTTAGCTAGCTCCTGTTGTAAGCTGTGGAGTCGTGGACCTGGTCTTGAAGGAACTGGGCCTAACATTTTCATAGCAAACGTAAAAAATGTTCAATAGGTGATGCAAAAAAATATCATCTATTTTATGAAATATTTGCGAAACCCTCAACATCATCCCCATTAGTGCCGAGCTCCCAACGAAGACCATAAAAACGTCCCCATCCCGTCAGCGTGGGTTTATTACGGAGCGAGCGAAGCGAGCGGAGTCTTACGTAGAATAACGGAAATTTCTGAGTATGAGCGGCCGGCCGGCCGGCCGGCCGGCCGTGCGGACGCTTTTGCGAGGCTTATATCTCAGCAACCACTTGACCGATTTACACGCGGTAATTTTTATAGGGTAGCTTCATTCCTTCTACCAAGTATTGGACTATTCCCGATGCATGTGGGTGACCCCTTATGCACGTGCCACGTGCAAAACGAAGAGGTGTCAGTTTTGCAATTGTTGCAATATTTCGGTAACTACTTGGCCGATTGCGCTGAAAGTTGGCATGTAGGTAGGCACCCACTAGGCACTGCATATCCATGTGCCAGAGTTGGGGTGCTGCTGCACGTGCGCACGTGCAGGGGTCGTTTCCAGATCTCGAGAACGGCTGGACCGATTGCGCTCAAATTTGGTACACAGTTAGGGACCGGTTAGTAGGGTGCCGTGCAAAAGCCAGTCGGGACCCATTTTGCACGTGCGCACGTGCAGGGTGCCGCTCCCAGATCTCGAGAACGGCTGGGCCGATTGTGCTCAAATTTGGCACATCGCTAGAAACCGGTCAGTAGGGTGCCGTGCACAAGTCAGTTGGAGGTACCCCCTCGAAATTTCGCACGTGCAAGGCTCACCCTCTCGCTCGCTCCGTTAGTCGCCCCAAAAGGCGCTATACTGGTCATAAGGATGCTAAGATTTAATTTCCAATCCGAAGCTGAAATGACATAAAGCAAATTTACATTTTACATACGAAACAAGCTG